ACATATGTAATACCCTTTGTAATACTTATTATAATATTTTTTTAAAAAGAATAATAAAAAAAAAGAATTGGCATTAGAAGAAGTGGGGAGTGTCAGTCGGGTCCGTTGGGCCGCGGGATACGCAGCGCGGGGGAGGTACATTGTTTTGAGGTACGTTCGCTGAAACAAGTATACAAGACAAGTGTGGATGGGAGAGTTGGAAGGGGTCGACCTCAGGGAATGTACCTCAATCAGATTCAGGACGTTTTTAGCAAAGGCCAGCTTAGGAGTACCCTAATTAAGTTAATAACAATGTACCTACCTATATAGTTTAAGAAATTTGGCTCTCAAAATAAATTTCAATTATTGTACTGTTGATATTTGGCTCTGTTGACTAATGAGTTTGCCGACCACTGGCCTAAGGGAAAGGATGGGGGGCGGGGGAGGTAGGCCAGGGACTGATAGACAATTCCTGCAGTCACAAGGGAACACCAAAGCAAAGAACATATACAAGAGCAAACTGCAAGCTTGCTCAAGGATGTCCCTCTTGCCAGCCACACACAAGGGCTTCAATTCTAGAGAATCAGGTTTATTAGAACAGCCTGCAGGATCATTCCTAGTTCACAACCCACAGTGTCTGGCCCTCTGGGTGGCAAACAAAATCTGAACACCGAGTTGTGCTGAACATGGCATAGGCTCAAACATCAAGATGATTCTTCAGCTCTTAGGCCCCAGGGACATAAAGCAACTTCTTTTTTTTAATCCTCACCCAAGGTTATGTTTACTGATTTTAAAGAGGGGGGGAGGGGAGAAAGAGAGAGAGAGAGAGAGAGATTGGTTGCCTCCGTGTGAGCCCCAACTGGGGATTGAACCCACTACCTTCTGGGAGTATGGGACGCTCCAACTGAGACATGGGGCCATGGCAAAGCAATTTCTTGATGCCCCCGTTTTCAAAGCCCCCTTTTCAAGAGCGACGTCCTATAATTCTGAAGCCCTTTTCATTCCACTGCTTCAATAAGGCTGCAGTGGCTCAGATTTTGCCAGGCCATGCAGAAACAGAACTGCAGGATTTTTTTGTTTGCACAGTAAGACCTACTCTAAATACTTACACAACCTATACATTTTAGTGGAATAAGCCAGAATAATAGTGCAAGTTGGTCTGCCAGGTAACTGCACCTAAACATTTAATTAGTGTATGCAGAGTTTTATATTAAGTTGGTTCTTAGCTAGTAAACATTTTTGGGAGATGTTTCTAGTCACGGCCTTTGGCTGACACAAGGGAATAGGGAGCACCCTTTCTGAGCGTTATAATGAGTATCTCTGTGTGTGTGCCTGCATATTCTGTAGAGATAGCAGAACTGGAATCTCTAAACACATCACATGTGCAATCAAGCCCTTTCCTAAAAGCAGTTCTCTTTATTAAATTCTAGACAACGATGATTTACAACTATGCATCTTTTCTCCCACTGGAGCTGGAAAGGAAAAAGGAAGCTAGAGCTTGCCCGGCCAGCCAGGTGGCTCAGTGGTTGAGCATCGACCCATGTACCAGGAGGTCGCTGGTTCAATTCCCAGTCAGGGCACATGCCCGGGTTGCAGGCTCAATCCCCAGTGGGGGGAGTGCAGAAGGCAGCTGATCAATGTTAATGTTCCTCTCTCATCACTGTTTCTATCTCTCTTTCCATCTCTCTAAAATAAATAAAAACGTATATTTTTAAAAAGAGATATAGTTCACCCGAGCTGGTTTGGCTCAGTGGATAGAGAATCAGCCTGTGACCTGAAGGGTCCTGGGTTCGATTCCAGTCAAGGGCACATGCCTGGGATGTGGGCTCGATCCCTAGTAGGGGGCATGCAGCAGGCAGCCGATCAATGATTCTCTCTCATCATTGATGTTTCTATCTCTCTTTCCCTTTCCCTTCCTCTCTAAAATCAATAAAAATGTATTTTAAAAAAAGAATTGTAATCCTTACTTAAAAAAAAAGATATAGTTAAATAACAGTTACCTAAAGCTTTCCCTTTTATGGTATCTGAATGTTCTGTATCTCTGGAATCCAAGGAGGCATGAGGCAAAGACTCTTAGCCTGAGAAAGTCAGTGAACATTTGGATGATGAGCTGAATACATACAAATACACATCTCACAGAGAAACTTCAGTGGAAGGAGACCCTAAAATATGTCTGGAAAGCCCTGATCGGTTTGGCTCAGTGGATAGAGCGTCGGCCTGCGGACTGAAGGGTCCCGGGTTCGATTCCAGTCAAGGGCATGTACCTTGGTTGCGGGCACATCCCCAGTGGGGGGTGTGCAGGAGGCAGCTGGTCGATGTTTCTCTCTCATCGATGTTTCTAACTCTCTATCCCTCTCCCTTCCTCTCTGTAAAAAATCAATAAAATATATTTAAAAAAATATGTCTGGAAAAAAGGGAGTAGCTTGTGTGTATGAATATCAAACTCAGTATCATGCAATATTTAAGACCTGTAAATATGTTAAATGATGCTCTCTCTCTCTACTTAGTTAATATTAAAACATAACTTTCCTAAGTTCATTTTTGGGTTTGATCTTCCCAATTTTTTCTCAAGCAATTGAAGTGCAATAACAAGAAGTTTTCTTATCATGGGACATTTTAGGAATATATCCCTTGAGGAATTCTATTTAAAAAGGCATAAATAAGCCCTAGCCACTTTGGCTCAGTAGATAGAGTGTCGGCCTTCAGACTGAAGGGTCCTGGTTCGATTCTGGTCAAGGACACATACCTCAGCTGCAGGCTGGATCCCTGGCCCTGGTCAGAGCATTTGTGGGAGGCAACCAATCAATATGTCTATCGTACATTGATGTTTCTCTCCCCCTCCCTTCCTCGCCAATGGAAAAATATCCTCGGGTGAGGATTAACAACAACAACAACAACACCACCACAAAGAGCTGAAAAAATATATATATAAAAGCTTATCTTTTTGCAGACATAATTTTTCTCCATATATACAACTTCTTATGCAATAAAGTGTTTATAAAATTTTAATTCTCTACACTGTTGAGTAAAAAAAGGACTCACGCCTACTTGGAACACAGCAGTTATCTTGGAGGCTCCATTTTTGTTTTATTTTTCCAATGTGGTTCTTGTTAGGTTGTATTTCTCAAACTGATCATAAGGTGTTGATGATACAAGTATCTGCCTTCACAACCTAGGTGGTTGCTGACAGCTAGTTATCAAAAGACATCGCCATTTTACAACAGGAACTCAACACAGAAGGCATGATGGAAAGTCATTTTATTTTTCCCCAGATAAATTTTAAAATAAAAGCTTTTAATGGAAAACTTCTAGAACTGCCATGTCACCCTGAACGCCAGCGACACTGTCTTTCATACATGTAGGAAGCCGGGTCCGGGCCCAGTCAGTACACACATTACTCCATGGCCCTTCCAGTTTTGCATGTACAAAATTGTCTGCTATTTTGCTGTAGCAAATAGCAACATAATTTAAAACTTTCATGTCTCCTGTGTGACACCTAAAATCCAGTCCTATTTATTAATACAGTTAGAAAAATAAAAGCCTTAAAAAATTCATGGTATGAGTTCACGGTGGTAATCACATAATCTCTTCAAATGTAAGATCATTTTTTACATTTCTACATAACAACCTTCAGGTTTAATTTGAAAGGCTTAAGACGAACTCTAGTAGGACTGTTAAGTCGATGTACATATCAATTATTTGACTTTTACTTGTCTTGGGAGAGTTAATTTCCATTGTCCACTGAATGAATGCCTTTCAAATATTAATAAATATATTACAGTATTTACAAGCATTCTTATCTACTCTGACACTGGTAGACAGTTAAGCCATGGGGAAGAAAACAAAGATCTTCCAACAGGGTGAGTTCATGAGGTCTGGGACCAAAGCAGCGGGTGGGTGCTTGAGCCTGGAGGGGGTCAGGGTGAGAGTTAGAGGCGGGATGTGCGCAGGGAGGGCTGCTCAGGGGTGTGTCCAAGCTCTAAGACACATCAGGCTCCAAGTGAGACCAGCTGGCCAACAACAGTTTTATTGTTGTTGGATCAGAAGTAAATGCCAAAGAGCTGGAAACCAGGACAAAGAGGAACACTGTAAAGTATGTTATTTTAGTAGAAAGAGGAGGAAGAGAGACCTAAGGTCAGCCTAAGGATTGTAAGACCACACTCTACAAGCTGTTGGTGAATTGCTCTCTGGAAATTACCTAATTTAGTGGAGGTGTTTGGTACATGTCATGGATAGGAAAGGATTAAATGCAAGAAATTATTTTGGCAACAAAAAGTGATACTAATTTGATTTCTGTAATTTTAACTATATCATGTGCTGTTTCCTTACACTGCTTTCTGCAAATTGTCTCATGCAGATATATCATCCATGTAACCTCTTTAATGCAATAATGCTGTTGAAGAATTTACATTGCAATGCTCTGGTATAAGGTGATCATAATGCCCAAATCCGCCCATATGAAGAAGTCAAGTCAAAGATTCTGATGTGCTAGGTATTTGCCTTGTGAACGAAATGATCATTTTGGGGGTTTGGTTTCTTATGTTTAACTAACAACATAACCTGGGATAGTGTGTCATTCTGTTAAAAGACACACTATCCCAGGTCATATCAAATACCACTCCCTCTGCCTGGCACCTCTCCTGGTAGTCGTTTAGAGGCCTAGGCTCAGGCCTCAAAGGGTGTGGCTCCCACCAGACCATCTGGGGTAGAGTTCAAATAGTCCCTTGGAAAATTTTATAAATGAAATTCACCCAATATAATGTGTAAAGCTCTTAGACAAGAGTCTTTAAAATAATTTAAACATTTGCATAAATCAGTAAGGGTTCTCTGGTGGCCCACTTTACATGCAAATACAGACAAACTGTTAACATGCATTATTTTAGTCAACTGGTAAAATTTATTTCAAAAGTAATTTTAAGCCATTTACTAAATTGTAAACTTCAATCCATTAAGAACTACTACCAGAGCAGTTTTGAGGTATTACTGTTAATTTAATATAGAAATGTTACTACATTTTGATGTGGAATGAAGTGTGACTGCCATGCCTTTTATTAAATGGTGCTGTCGTAGTGTTGACTACAGACGTGTCTTACAGCTTTTAGGAAATTATTGTGCATGTGTATTAACTGACTTTCAAACATTAATGGCAATTTGATTGGTTGGTCATTTCTAAGCATACCAAAATCATAAAGTATAGTCCATGGTATGGGCCAAACAAGAGAAATTTCAGGTATACAATGTTGTCCTCCAACCTACCTTCATCAAAAGCCCACCCCACTTGCTCAAGTTGTTTACAAGGAAAACTTGTGCAAAAAACATCCAAAAAGACTAACAGCAGGTTATCTTGTAATTTAAAAAGAACTAGACAATGTTGTTGTTTTTTTCAACTTCATTTATAAAAATAAATAAATTTTAGTTTGAGACCTTAGGTACCAAATTGTGGCTTCATTTAGTCATGGTGCCTAGACTATAAAGCTATGGAAAACAGAGTTGAAAATGCATGAGCTCCAGCTCATCCCCAGTGTGGCCGATAGCTGGCACCCTATGCTGTTACAACCTTTTATAGTTAACTTGTTGACAAACGTTTAGTCTTCTTGTCCTACAAAACTTTAACTCCTAGGTCTCCAATATAAAACTACAAGTAACCACAGTACATGTAAGGTAGGGAATGAAAACCTGTCACGCACTCCAAGAGACACTGGTCCATTGCACTGGGGCAAACACAGCAGCTCAGAGGAAATGGCCATCCACTCGGGTGGACAGCTGATTCAGATGTTTTGCACTAAAATGTAGGCATGAAGTCCCTCCTGTAGTCTTTATCTCAGAGCAGCAATAATTTAAAATCAGTGTGACAGTAGGAGCAAATCCTTCTAGGCTTTGTGCTGTGAGATGATAAGTAGCGGGGCCCCACCCCCACACATCTGGTGAGCGGCAGGGCTCCGGGTCACTATGTACATTAGATAGGAACACTGTCAGGTGGAAGTGCCAATATGACTTACTGCTTAGAACTGTGCTAACATCGACACCTTTGTTAGGCTGATTTCTCACATGAGAAGATTTTTACCTTAGTCAGAAAATTATATGAGGAACAGTAAGGAACTGAACTAAGGAAAAAGTTTCTAGCCTCCAAATCTACACACACACACACAAAAGCAAGTTTCAAATTATTGTCCTCTCAGTGCAAACGAGCAATTGGCTGACCTGTCACATATCATCAATTGATATGAACACAGCATTCAGTCTGTGGAACAATGTGATGCAGCAAAAACTTGATCTAATGCAAATCAAGCCTATTAACTAAAGCCCACAGCAAGGAGAGACAGTCCAGCTCAGTGTTCTCCCGTGCTAGCGCCGACACTGAACACAAAAGCAACTGAAAGGCACAGGGCTCAGATTTCATTGATAGTCCTCTCTGAAGGGCAGTACTCTGAGGGGCCTGGTGAGGACATATAGAAAGACTGTGTTTTCCTTTTTAATCGGGCTCTTTTGTTGGCCAACACCAGGCTACGCCGGCTTGAACTGATGATTTCCGAAATAAACTTTTTGCAGTCTACACACACCTCCATAGTACTCCAGTCCTCCATTAACTCTTTGGGAAACTGTAGTTCTTCATCTGATTTGTCCACAGACTTAGATTTTGAGGAGAACCTGGAATAAAACAAAACATTTAAAAGATCCAGAATTATTACTCATAGTGGTATTGCAATACTAAAAAAAATAAGTGCAAAAAAAGAAAATTTGTTGCAAAGACATTATGGAATGGTGAGTGATTTAGTCATGTCATGTTCTCGCAAAGAATTTCTAAATGGAGAAAAGGTTCAAAATATTAAAAAAATAAACAAAAATCACATCATCTCACTTATATGTGGAATCTAACAAACAAAATAAACTGGTGGACAAGTAGGTCCAGAGCAGTGGTTCTCAACCTTCCTAATGCCGCGACCCTTTTAATACAGTTCCTCATGTTGTGGTGACCCCCAACCATAAAATTATTTTCGTTGCTACTTCATAACTGTAATTTTGCTACTGTTAGGAATCGTAATGTAAATATCTGATATGCAGGATGTATTTTCATTGTTACAAATTGAACATAATTAAAGCATAGTGATTAATCACAAAAACAATATGTAATTATATATGTGTTTTCTGATGGTCTTAGGCGACCCCTGTGAAAGGGTCGTTCAACCCCCAAAGGGGTCGCGACCCACAGGTTGGCGACCCACAGGTTGAGAAATGCTGGTCCAGAGACATGGAAGCACAGAACAGACTGACAGATCTCAGAGGGAAGTGGGGGGTAGGGGGTGGGAAGAGATTAATCAAATAACGTATGTACATATATGCATAACCCATGAACACAGATAATAGTGCAGTGAAGGCCGGGGTGGGGCGGAGAGGGTAAAGGGAGGGAAAGAAACCAGGAAACATGTTTTATTAAGAAATAATACTGATTGGCGAGGATGTGGAGAAAAGGGAATCCTCGTGCACTGTTGGTGGGAATGCAGATTGGTGCATTGTGGAAAGCAGTATGAAGTTTCCTCAAAACATTAAAAATGGAACTGCCTTATGATGCAGTGATTCCTCTTCTGGGAATTTATCCGAAGAAACCCAAAACTCTAATTCGAAAGAATATATACCCCTATTTCACTGCAGAGTTATTTATAATAGCCAAGCAAGATTTGGAAGCAGCTCAAGTGCTCATCAGTAGATGAGTGGATGAAAAAGCTGTGCTATATTTACACAGTGGAATACTACTCTGCCTTGGAAAGGAAGAAAATTTTACTCTTTGTGACGGCATGAATGGACCTAGAGAACATTATACTAAGTGAAATTAGCCACTCAGAGAAAGACAAGAACCATATGATCTCACTCATATGTGGACTTTAATGAACGAACTGAACTAGCAAACAAAATAAATAAATTTTAGTTTGAGACCTTAGGTACCAAATGGTGGCTTGATTTAGTCATGGTGGCTAGACTATAAAGCTGGCCTGACCTCCTTCCACCTTACTTAAGGACCAGCACTAACCTTACTCTTACTCTGCATCAAATGCAAAGGGATTGATACTCAGGCAACTTTTTTTTTTCTTTTAAATTGCCAATTCTTGGCATAAAGCTTCATTCTGCCTTTACAATAGGAAACTAAATTGCAGACCATTGTAAACATAGGATTAAACAGATTTTCTTTCAAACTAAAGAAGGAAAGAAAGATTAAACTATTACATGCACATTTTCAACTCCACTGAAAACAACAGCAAGTCTAAAGATGACTTTTAAAGGACACACAAAAGTAATTATTTCTAAAGGGAACACATTGAATGGGAGAACATATTGGCCAATGATACATCTAATAAGGGGTTAATCTCCAAAATATAAAATCAAAAAATGGGCAAAGGACTAAACAGACACCTCTCCAAAGAGGACATACAAATGGCCAAGAGACATATGAAGAAATGCTCAATGTCACTAACATCAGAGAGATGCAAATTAAAATGACAATGAGATACCACCTTACACCTGCCAGAATGGCTACCATCAATAAATCAACAAACAACAAGTGCTGGCAAGGATATGGAAAAAAAGGAACCCTAGTACACTGCTGGTGGGAATGCAGACTGGAAAACAGTGTGGAGTTTCCTCAAAAAATTAAAAATGGAACTGCCATTTGACCCAGTGATCCCTATTCTAGGAATGTATCCTAAGAATCCCAAAACACCAATCAGAAAGTATATATGCACCCCTATGTTTATAGCAATGCTACTTATAATAGCTAAGATCTGAAAATAGCCCGAGTGCCCATCAGTAGACGAGTGGATAAAAAACCTGTGGTACATTTACACAGTGGAATACTACACAGCTTTGTAAAAAAAGAAGAATCTCTTAACCTTTGAGACAACATGGAGGAACCTGGAGAGTATTATGCTAAATGAAAGAAGCCAGTCAGAGAAAGACAAGTAACACATGATCTTGCTTATATGTGGAATCTAATGAACAAAATAATCTGACAAACAAAATAGGTCCAGAGACATGGAAGCATTCAGTGGACTGGGGATTCTCAGAGGGAAGAAGGGAGGGAGGGAAGAGATCAACCAAAGAACCTATATGCATCTATGCACAGCCCATGTATGCAGGCAGCAGTGGGGAGAGGAGGGTCAATGAAGGGGCAAAGTGGGGGGGTGGCTATAATACTTTCAATAATAAAGATACATTTAAAAAATACAATATAGGCCGAAACCGGTTTGGCTCAGTGGATAGAGCGTCGGCCTGCAGACTGAAGGGTCCCAGGTTCGATTCCGGTCAAGGGCATGTACCTGGGTTGCGGGCACATCCCCAGTGGGAGATGTGCAGGAGGCGGCTGATCGATGTTTCTCTCTCATCGATGTTTCTAACTCTCTATCTCTCTCCCTTCCTCTCTGTAAAAAATCAATAAAATATATAAAAAAAATAAAAATAAAAAAATAAAAAATACAATATAGGCCGAAACCGGTTTGGCTCAGTGGATAGAGCGTCGGCCTGCAGACTGAAGGGTCCCAGGTTCGATTCCGGTCAAGGGCATGTACCTGGGTTGCGGGCACATCCCCAGTGGGAGATGTGCAGGAGGCGGCTGATCGATGTTTCTCTCTCATCGATGTTTCTAACTCTCTATCTCTCTCCCTTCCTCTCTGTAAAAAATCAATAAAATATATAAAAAAAATAAAAATAAAAAAATAAAAAATACAATATAGGCCGAAACCGGTTTGGCTCAGTGGATAGAGCGTCGGCCTGCAGACTGAAGGGTCCCAGGTTCGATTCCGGTCAAGGGCATGTACCTGGGTTGCGGGCACATCCCCAGTGGGAGATGTGCAGGAGGCGGCTGATCGATGTTTCTCTCTCATCGATGTTTCTAACTCTCTATCTCTCTCCCTTCCTCTCTGTAAAAAATCAATAAAATATATAAAAAAAATAAAAATAAAAAAATAAAAAATACAATATAGGCCGAAACCGGTTTGGCTCAGTGGATAGAGCGTCGGCCTGCAGACTGAAGGGTCCCAGGTTCGATTCCGGTCAAGGGCATGTACCTGGGTTGCGGGCACATCCCCAGTGGGAGATGTGCAGGAGGCGGCTGATCGATGTTTCTCTCTCATCGATGTTTCTAACTCTCTATCTCTCTCCCTTCCTCTCTGTAAAAAATCAATAAAATATATAAAAAAAATAAAAATAAAAAAATAAAAAATACAATATAGGAAAAAGTAATTATTTTTAAAAAATAAACTATGAGAGTAAAGTATCCTTCAAGTAGCTAACCACTATCCCTTGACAAGTTACCTTTCAGAAGTTTTGAAGATTTGTGTGCAATTCAAAACTATATTAAAATCAACCAACCAGAAGAAAAAATGGCGGAGGCTTAGACGGACGTGTTGGTGCTTTGTCCCGGACCAGATAAGGGCGAGCAGCTGAAACGGGTAACATACAGCCCGAACAAGCAGAGGAGATTCAGCTGAGAGACAGTCTGCAGCCAGGAAAGACAGAGAACTCCTAGAAAATGGGGATGGTTAGAGATTGAGGCTGAAACCTCCCCCTGGGCGCCAGCTCAGCCGCGAGACCGCGCCATCTTGAGTAGCTGTTATCCGCATCCAGAGATCAGCTACTAACCCGGAGGCAACGGCTCTCAAGCAGCGCGACTACATGAACTCAGAGGAGACCTGCTTCCCTCCACGGAAAGGTTAGACTTACCCCAAAGGTGCGGTTTGCAATTCAGGTTGGAGCGAGCCTTTCCAATTTTTCTCACTCTGGCTTGGAATCATTGACACAAATATATACTCATGTCCTGAAGCTCTTTGTGCTGAATCTGAGTCTTGGCTACAAGTCATATAAACAATCCATGTGTGCTGCTGTGGACAACTCAGAAATTTGTCAGATGGTCGAGAGCAGGGTAACGATTAAAAAACCAGCCAGAGCGCTCCGCGGAGTTCTGGAAGGTGGAGCCCTGCGAGTTCCCACAGCCTCCCAGGCTCTTGTTTACACACTTCCACACTTCCTTGTGAGTTTGATTGTTGATCCCAGTGCATGTGATTGCCCAGTTGGGGTCGCTAGCGGAGCTTGTAGGGGAAGATTGTTTTTGGGGAGCCTGGGAAACAGAGCTGGGAGTGGCGACTGGTGAACCAGCTCTGGGCGGAGCTGGTTCAGGTACAATAGAGAACTCCTGGTCAGAGAGGACTTAAAGCCTTGGAGGTCAATCCAGACACACTGCCACCCAGAGGCAGAGCCACGAACTGACTCTTCTGTACATACAAATACAGCAGTAAGGGGAACCAATACGGCCTGCCTTAAAATCAGGACTGTGGCTTACAACACGGAGGAACAGTGTATCAGAGGGAAATTCAACATTCTCCTGAATTCCGGGCGTGCCAAAAAGAAGAGTAGAAGATCTGAAGCACCTGCATTACTGCACATTTTTATTTTATTTTTTTTTAATTAATTACTTTTTCACCTTTTAACTAAGAAAACATTGTTTTTCTTTTTTTTTTCCCATCACCTGATTTTACCCTTTCAACTACTACATTTTTATTTTTAACTAGTATTATTACCGCTACCATTTTACCATTTTTTAAAGTGTCATTTTCTTTTCTTTTATTTTTTTTATTTTTTTATTTTGGGACTAATGTCCTCCATTCTATTTTCATCGTTCCTTTAGCAACATTTTTCTCTACCTCAATTTGCCTCTGTGCTAAACCCTCTTCCCCACTTTTTCCCTTTTGTTGTCCTGTTTCTCTTACCCTACTCCAGGTTTAGATCTTCCCTATTCTTTTTACCCCCTGTCAAAATTTCACCCTACTTATATACCCTATGTCCAATCCCCTGCTCTAAATCCTTATACACCTTTCCCTTATCTTCCTTCACTATCCAAATTTTTTTCTTCTTCTTCTTCTTTTCTCTCTCTATTGTTTATTGTTGTTTGCTCGATTGACGAGTATATTGGGGGTTTTTTTAGGATCGTTTGTGAGGTTAGTCTGCTTATTCTTTTTATTTTTCTCCCCCCGCCCCCCGGTTATTTCTGTGCTTCTGTTTTCCCTTGCGTCGCTTGATATTATTGGTTGTTTGTAGTTTGTATTCATCTCCAGGAATCTGCTGCTGTAAATTGTTGGTATTAGTGGCGGTTCTATAGGAGTTTTCCCCTCATATAAATAGTCTCTTCCCCTCTTATACTTCACTCTCTTTTCTCTCTTACTTTTTTTTTTCTTTTTCCTCTTCTTTTTTCCCCTCCCTTTTTCCAATTTTATTTTTGCACTCCTTTTTTTTTCTTTTTTCTTTCTTTCTTTTTTGTCTTCTACCTTTTTCTCTTCTTTCTTCCTTATCTCCTAACTCTCTTAGCTCGGGTGGCCACCTTTATTTGGGGTTATTGATATCGTAAATACATTCGTGTTCAGTGCCTGGTACGTTGTGCCTTGTTGTGTTGTATTTTGTGCCTTTAAATCAACGCAGCAGATTCAAGCAACAGCGGCCTCCTGATCTCCACACGCTCTGTCTGGGGAACAGTTACTGTGTGTGAAGCCTCCCTCCACCTGCCAGAAGAGCCACCACAGCTGTGAACAGCACCCACCAGAGGCCCTGCTATCAACGGAGGAGCCACTGCTACCACAACCGCCCAAGGAGCAACCACAGCCCGAGGAGCCACTGCCACCCAGGGAGCAGCCACTGAACGACTCAACAACTAGATATGTCAGTGAGATCAAACATGGGTAGACAAAGAAACCCCCAAAGGAAAGAGAAGGAGGACTCGCCAGAAAAGCAGCTAAGTGAGACAGAGGCATGCAACATGACGGAAAAAGAATTCAGAATAAGGGTCCTAGAGTACATGCACCGGTCGGAGGAAAAAATCAATACCATATGCAAGAAGCTAGAAGAATCAGATGAAAAATTCAATACCATATGCAAGAAGCTAGAAGAATCAGATGAAAAATTCAATACCATATGCAAGAAGCTAGAAGAATCAGATGAAAAATTCAATACCATATGCAAGAAGCTAGAAGAATCAGATGAAAAATTCAATACCATATGCAAGAAGCTAGAAGAATCAGATGAAAAATTCAATACCATATGCAAGAAGCTAGAAGAAACAGATGAAAAAATCAACAACTTAAGTAAGGCCCAAGAAGAAATGAAGAGTGATATAGCTGCCATAAAAAACTCCATTGAAAGTATCAACAGTAGACTAGGAGAAGCGGAGGACCGAATTAGTGAATTAGAAGACAAGGAAGCAAAACACACCCAAACTATACTGCAAATGGAGAAAAAAATTAAAAGACAGGAGGAGAGCCTAAGGGAGCTTTGGGACAACATGAAACGAAACAACATACGAATAATAGGGGTGCCAGAACAACAGAAAGATGAACATGGATTAGAAAACCTATTCGAAGAAATAATATCAGAAAACTTCCCTGAGGTGGGGAAGAAAAAAGTCACACAAGCCCAGAGAGTCCCAAACAAGGTGAATCCGAAAAGACCCACACCAAGACACATCATAATTACCATGGCAAATGTTCAGGACAAAGAGAGAATCTTACAGGCTGCAAGAGAGAGACGGAAAGTTACATACAAGGGATCTCCCATTAGATTATCAAATGATTTCTCAACAGAAACACATCAGGCCAGAAAAGACTGGACGGAAATTTACAAAGTGATGCAAAGCAAAGGACTGAATCCAAGAATACTCTATCCAGCAAGGCTTTCATTCAAAATTGAAGGGGAAATAAGAAGCTTCACAGACAAAAAAAGGCTAAGGGAGTTTATCACCACCAAGCCAGCCATGCAAGAAATGCTAAAGGGACTGGTGTAAAAAGAAGAAATAACAAGCTCAGAAAGAAAACAGCCACACACACAAAAAAGAAATGGCTATAAACAAGTACCTTTCAATAATAACTTTAAATGTAAACGGACTAAATGCTCCAACCAACCAAAAGCGAGTGGCTGAATGGATAAAAAAACATGACCCATACATCTGCTGTCTACAAGAGACCCACCTCATTAGAAGGGACTCACACAGACTGAAAGTGAAGGGATAAAATCAACCAATCAACCAACCAACCCACCCACCCACCCAAACCCTCTGGAGCCAAAACCCTGCCACATCACCACAGTCCTCAAAAGGAGCATTCTTCTTTCCCAAAGAATGCTCTGAAGATCCAGGCCTCTTGCTCACCTGGCAATGCTCCGAAGTGGCCGCTGGTGGCTGGTGGAGGGTTTTTCTGGCCTCACAGAACTTTCCCCTCTTTGCGAGGCAGAAGGTCCCAATGAAAAGATTGGAAGAGTAGAGTATGGCTTGGATGGCAGCCGCATCTATTATCCCAAACAAAACTGAGAATGAGCAGTACTGTTAAAAAGGCAGTCTACTAAAATTACTATTACGTTATGATGTCACCAAGCGTAGCTTACCTTTTTGCAACACTGTGAGCACACGGGCCTGCATACAAAATCACAAGTATTACTTAGCATGATGCCACAGATGTGACAGGAGAGTTAGAGAAGCCAACGGCTGCATGTTGTCAATTTCTACAATAAATTGCAAGAACTCTCTGGTTCTTCTATCAGAATATAACAAATTGATACAACTGTGGATTGCCAAAAAGATAATCAATCTGTAAAACTTAACTCTTACACTGTTTCCTATAGAAGGATCAACTTACATCTGTAATTTTCTTATTTGTCTATCCAAGGGTCATATGACAATCATACCTATTTTTTTTCTGTTCAAACATGACACATTATTATTAGAATGATCTTGGTTATGTAAAAGAAATAAATGCAGAGAAACATTTTCAAGGTCTAACACTAAATAATTGTTTGATCCACTCTTTTGAAGAAATCAGTATTCCTAACCCATAAACAAAGCACAATGTGATAATAGATTATTTTTAATGTTGTTTCTATGTAGAAAAATAATGAAACAATGAAGTTAACTGGTATTTCTTTGACTACTGTCATCAATTACAAAGAAACCTTACCTCTTACAGAACTGACAGGTATAAGACCAGGTGAAGAAGGAAAATCTCCTGGTTCGGCAACAAAAGCAAAGCTAAAAAATACAAATGTAAAAGGAGAAAAACAAAAAAAAACATCGACAATAGTTAATTTCCTAATTTACATGGTTTAATACATTTTATATTTATACACTGGGGAAGTTTAGTACACAGAAGGAAGAGAATTCACAAACCGTGTTTTTATGTTTGGCTCTGTGATAATTATAACATGGCTCTGTATTTAATCTTATTCTACTTTTAAAAGGTAGTAAAAGGCCACAGCTCCCTAGAGTTGACCATCATGGAAGCAATTGGAAGAAGGTTCTAAAAAATTCTCCCCAGTATAATGACTAAATGCAGACATGGTTTTATGAAGGCATAACATTATTTATTATGGTTGTTTTAAACTCCCAGAGGTTTGATTTCTAAGGGAGAAAATATTCACTTTGGTGCGCAAGGCAGAACACGAACTGACTTCTGGAGAATAAGCCTCTTACCTCCTAAAATCCCCTAAAAGTCCTGCACCATCTGGCTAGCAGACAGCTCCCTCAGGAGACCATGCCTGTGACTGACCGTTCTGCTACCCCTGCTGATCAATCGACTTGAAACAGCTCTACCTTTCCTTTTTTCAGGGCAGTGTAGACATCTTTATATTGTTGGTATTTTTCCAGCTCTGCCTTCACCAGGACCTGACGAATATGCATCACCTCCTCCACAGTAAGAGCTAGGCATTCCACTGGGTAGCAGAATTCCTCCTGAAATTCAAAATTCCACATGAATAAGAAACTCCCACCCCCTTTTCCGGCTTTGCAAAATTTCCCACCAGATCAGACACCTGGTTAGTAGCTTCTGAGAAGAAAAGAGGTCCCAGTGAACACTGGAACAGAGCTGGCTTACTCTGGGTACCACATAATTTCTAATTATACCAAGATAACAGATGGCAGAAAACGTCTGGGGACCATGTGAAACACTATAGCTTACTGAAGTTTCAAAAAAAAAAAAAAAAAAAATGAAAGCCCCTCGCTATGTATCTATGCTGTGAAATCTTGAAAAAAAAATATTTGTTATTCTATAACTAAATGTATGTCAGTTATCTCGTATGATTATGCAAAGACGTTATTTAGTGTTGTGTTGATACTATATGCTAATAGATAAATAGCAAATAAAAAACATTGGCACTATTTTTAAAACTGGTTGGTGGTACCCAGAATAGCCAAGAGAAGGTGGTTAGTAATTTATACTGAGAAGCACAGTGGTAAGTTACATCAGCACACCTTGAAAAATCCTAATGGCGTGAGTGGAGCTGGAACATTGGTGCAGTTTACAGCCAAAAGGCAATCTCTACTGCTCCACAGTTCTCCAGATTTCTATGATGACTTTTAAACAACTACTGAATGCACAGTCAGCATTGGAAAGATGTGGGGGAAAATCAGAATAATTTCACAATAAATATTTATGTTGACGGTCTTATGTTAATAGTTTCCCCAAAAACAGCTGAGGAAGATGTTGATGTAACTGATCCCACTGAATAAAGAGCCTCACACCCATCTGCTCCCCATCCGGCCTGCTCTTGATTGGTGGATCCAATAGAAAGACAGAACAGTCTTGTGCATTCGCACCCTGCCAGGCCTCACAAGGGCCATTGTGATGTAGTGACACTGAAACTTAGTGTTCTCAGTACAAACACATTATAATTCACTCCCACACACACAATAGCACTGGTCACAGGCATTCTGGAATCAAACAAGCCAAGTGAGAAAGCACATGACCATGAATGCAGTTTAACATTCAGTTCTGTCTTTCAATCAGAGAAAAACAAAAACAAATCTAGGTTGCAAACTTGACAAACATTAGCATTTACTAAAAAAAAAAAAAAGTAGTTTGAAGAACTACGGATTCTTACTAACCGTCGATACCAAATCGTCTCTGTTCAAGCTAACTTAAGAAAGGCTAAATTTGCTTAATTGTGTTTTGGAAAAAATCCTGCAATTGAATTTTTAAGATGAAGAACTTTGAATCTGGAGGCTGGGAAGATAGATTGTTCAGAGATTATATCATTTACTCTAAATGTCTAAAATACTTTTTAAAAAATCACCATCACATAATTTTCTCTTTCAATGGGAAAAGCTTTCAAAGACAATAAGGTTAAGCATGTTCAATATCTACTCTGTTTTGCTCCACCCCGAGAAAAGCGTAGTGTCAAATGGGACAAGGCACTGACTCGGTGAAGGTTAGGACCTTAAGCTGCACTAGGTGAGTACTGTTGGCTGCGCACATCCGAATGACAGCTTTTCTGAGCTTTGAACGTACTTCATGGAACTTTTCCTATGGTAATTTTCATTCATCAGTTATATGTGTGACTGCAGTACATCTTCTGATAGCTAACTCTGTGACAAAACTGTTGACTTGGAACAAAATAATGTATAAGTCTAGCAAATAACTATATAATCTCTACTGAGATTTGTTGTTGTGCTCCCTAGAAAGATGGCAAATAGTGCCAATTTAATTAACTTTAAACTTGGATGCCTGGGCTGGTAAATATTTCTGGCAGACGGGATCCTTTTTCTCTGCAAGGGTTCACTAGCACATGCAATAAACCTGACAACCTGGACTGCTCTCTCCCTAGTCTTAAGTCACATAAGGGCTTAGTCGAGCATACCTTCATCCTACTGCTTTGAACCATATGCAAATCCAGTACTTCACAAGGAAATAATAAGAAATTGTGGATTTTATTTGTGTTTCTTTTCTTTTAAAAAATTTCAAGTAGATTAGCCTTTAGTAAGGTAATTTCCATCAGGACAAATGCTAATGTTTTAATTCTGGTGCTTTCCCAAGGACAACAAAACTTTAATGCAACATGAAAGAAAAAATAGAGTCACTAGAATACTTTTCACTTTTAAAAAATATTGGTTCAACATCCCCAAAGCCAAATTAAACCTTAACAGATCTTGCTGAGATACTAATGCTCCAAACATAAAGAGCACTTTCCCCACGGTGACAGTGGCTGGTCACTCCTACAGCAAGCACTAAGCTCATTTTCATGGTGGAACATGGACTATACGGACTAGATCAGCACCACTCTAATTCTCCAGTTTCTTTGTACTTCAAAATGACTCTCAAATTTAGGAAAGGGAAGCTGAATCTTAAAGTGTTTTAATAATGATTACAATATGTTATAGATGCAGATGTGCCTTTAGAATTTACTTTTACGTACATCACAAAGTTTTTGTTGAAGATTTGGGTTATTTTTACCATTCAAAACTGGTCAGAGCCCCACCAATGAGGCTCAGTTGTTGAGCATCGACCTTTGAAACAGGAGATCATGGTTCAGTTTCAGGTCAGGGGTACATGCCCGGGTTGCAGCCCCAACAGGTGGTGTGCAGGAAGCAGCCAATCAATGATTCTTTCTCATCATTGATGTTTCTCTCTCTCTCTCCCCCTCTCCCTTCCTCTCTGAAATCAATAAAAATATATTTAAAAACAAACAAAACAAAAAACGGGTCAGAGTTTGGCAGCACAGAAATTAGAGAGCAAAATGTGTAATCTGGTTACTGAGTCACAGAGAGAAATGGGAATAGTCATATTTTATATCATGTTATTATAAAAAACTTCATAAGTAGCAGATACTTAAAAATTGTCCAAAATAATATTTGAGTTTTTAAACTAAATAAAAATAGCAACTATTAAATTTACTTGTTCTTTCCTTTTTTCAAGTTTAACTTTAAAATGCTAAGTGAATTCTTTGCCTCAAGTAATATGTGAATTTAGTATACATATATGTGTGTTTGGGGAGGATGAATAATAAAAATAAAAATGTTGAAAGATCTTCAATAATAGCAGTAGGAGTGACAGAGTTAAAATTTCACTCCTGCACTTAACCATCTGCCCAAATGACAGATCTGAAAATAGGAAAAGGTCAGAGATTTATCTTATGTTTCATGACAAATAAACAGGGAAAGGGATTTGCTGTTTCTCATTCACATTCGCAGTTTCCTTTCTAAATCAAGGGTAATAAAGAATAACCAAGAAACCAGCTGCTGGCTCACTGGTTCAGTGAAGGCGTGTTTAGGAAATAAGGGACCCTGTGTAGGTGCAACAGCAAGGCTGCCACCAACACTGGTCAGCAGCAGGCATCACACTGGGTGGGGAAGCCTCACCAGGTCCCAGGCTTTTCATTTCACTGGGGTTTGGAAATGATTGTACTTTCTTTAAAAAATACACTCTATGAAAACCTCAAAAATAATAATAAAACACAAGATTACTTAAAATAGCTAAAATAACCAGAGCAATAAAAAGGAAACTTAAAGTTTCTCTTTACAGAGAAGGGGGCTATCATAAAACCCATATAACACCCTGACCATCACAACACAGCTGTGTGAACGGTGCTGGGGACGAGGAGAGTCTGAGGTCAGGGGAGACACATGCGATGGGGGCAGGGAGTGTGGGACACAGGCAGTGACAGGGCTCTGTGGGAGGCAGACTCTCCTCGGATGGCAGCGAGGCCCTGGGTGAAAGCACAGGCTCTCAGGGGGCTCCTGCCCCTGGAGACGGGGGCAGCATTCCTCCTGCTATAAAATTGGGTCACTCCAAGAGACAAACACTCACAGGTCCCTCGAATCTGATGCTGCATTTTGAGTTTGTTGTCCTTTCAAAGTTATTTTCCTCTCAACTGAGATCATGGTGTGATCTATGCATCCTACAAATGATTGGAATCAATGATCAGAAGCAAAGTGCCCATCTACGCTGTTAATTCTTGCAGAGTGCAGGAGTTCAGGTATTGCTGTCAGAGATAGAGCAAAATAATTCCCAGAACCAGCAGAAAGAGGCCAACCTTTGAGGATTTCCACCTGCTGGTAAGAGCTCTCTCACATAGATAATACATAGCCCCTGCTACCCCAAACATGGCTGCTTCAAAAGGATGAGAGCTGAGCAGAGAAGCTGTTTGTATGGTAGAAAAAAGTGGTCGGAAAGGCGTCCATGGCCATACACTGGTTATCCTAGGAACCTGAACAACAGATAAGGGGAAAAGAAAATGGCAGGGGGAAAAGAAAAGGAGAAAATAATGCTGAACGTGAATGACCTACAAATAGTGATTACAGAGCATGAAAGAAAAACAGAACAAAACAAAACCACCACAAAGGATGTTAATGGTAGATTCCATGCGTGTGTCCACACCAACATCTGCGCCCGCATGTATAAGTCGGCAATCAAATCATGAAGTCAATCCTAGAGAATCTCAAAGTTTATACAGCAAAGACCTGAACTTCAAATTTCCTAACAGGTTGTCTGGTGAACACTGAGTTTCCTAAACCAGGCTCGCTGGGATGCAGGACGGGGCAACTGCCGCTGTGCCAGCTGTGCCGGAGAGAGTGTGGAAGTGTTGCTCCCCTGGGGAAGGCTCTTAAGACAAGCAGCCTTTCGTTTAGATGGGCAATTGCCTTCAATCATTTGACCAATGATGGACAAAAAAATTACATTTTAAAACATCCTAAGGAAAGGGAGAGAGATACAATAAAAATAATAACAACAAAGACATTTCCGCCATTTTCAGTAAAGGGATTAGAAATACACAATGATTGTTTCTAAAATATAGCTAAGATTTTAAATGAGCATACTTTAAAAACAATACTTATCAAGCTAGAGGGTGCTACACACAGAAGTGCGATTTGATGGATTTCTTGAGATAAGCTACCAGCAAGAAAAGTCATTACTTGACCCGGATGTTATTTCGTCTCAGCTGGTGCGTAGAGGTCCTTAGAGGGAGTATAGTTCTGTGTGGAACCTGTGCACCCAATGCAATGCCTTTCACTGAGACCCTTAGTGATTGCAGACTGGTTTTACTTTGCTCTTTTCCCCACAGAAAAACCCAACTCACAGCCCAGCCAACCACACTCTGAGAGTTCCCCTTTGCCAGGAAGTATACTTCATGGGCTCTTGATGTGGACTGACAGTCTTTCTTGGCAAAGCTGTTATTACTACCTGAAACTCCTTCATAGTTGATCTGATGGTTGACTGATAATTTTAAAATTTAAGTCTAACTTCAACAATGATGTCATATGATATGATCACAAGGCAGGGACACACCTACATGATAAACTGGCTTCTAGGAAAAGCCATGTGAACAGAAGAATCGCCTAATTATCAGACTTGTAAAAAATAACCACTAAGGACTTCCCTCTTACATGTTTTTTAAGTTGTGACAGTAACTGTATATTTTGCTAAAGCAGTAACTTGTTCATATTAACGAAAGTCTTCAGATTTTAAAGTTTGAACCTGTCTAGTTAGAGTTCTGTTTTCCTGCTATATTTAATCAAATATCAGTGTTTTGGTGACTATTTAAGAGGAATTCTGTCAAGAATTGCCATAAAATCATTAATTCTTTAGTTGTATCGTTTGGGAGCAGAGATGACTGATCAAATTTCAACACTGTAAGCTCTGTTCAAACTTAGTATCTTCACAATAACCACACTCTATTCCTCTACTTGGAATGATACATCACAGCCTAAAAATATGAACTAAGCATATTCCAGTTTATTCATGAGTATCTGAAAAAAACGTTAGATGCTGGGTTGCCAGTGGAACTACTGACTGAAGCCTTGCATCTTGCCTGCACACATTTCTGAAGTTAAGTGGGACTACGAAAGAATCTCTGCAGACCTCCTTTGGCTGGTGATCTATTCTTCCTGGCAGGGCCTTGTGTCCCACGTCCCACTGTTCTGAGAAACGAGTGGCCCCTACATGAATCCAAGTCTCTGGAAAACAGCAAAAACTGTCAACCAGTCCAAACAGCAGCTTTGGCTCCAAAATATACTTGGAAACAGTGAATAATGGCTTTCAGTGAATCAAAATTTTCTCCTGGTACTTGTGCTTAATAAACTAGTCTACTGTAGCTAAACTTGGTTGTTTTCATTATTAGTTTTAACAATTTTTAAGTAGATTAATATCCTTTGAAAGGAAGAAAACATTTCTTTAACAATTCATACTTTCAACCACGGATGTCTTCTGGGGGGCAAAAAGGTACTTTAAATGAGCCAAGAATGGCCAGCTTTCATTTAGGTTGCTGTCAGGGTTGGTTTTCTTTAGGTATTAAAAACAAGTTATTTAAAGTTCATTCTAACCTTTGGAAGTTTTTTCTCCTAATCATCATCTCAAGAAAGCTAACGGTTCTAGGTCCCCTACCTGACCCTGAAGTTACTATGCAGTGTTTCCGTTACTTACAAGAGACCGGGAGCTCTGCTTGGACGGTGGCAGAAACTGTCTCACGTTGGTGGGCGTTTCCTTTTCAATGGAATGCCGTCTCTGGGGAGGCTGCCGTCTCTCTGGCTGGGGGGTTGATGATATGGGCAAGAATTTCGGAGGTGCTAGAGAAATGAATTAACTAAGTTAAAATGAATTTTCTTACTGTGAGGACTGTTATAGAAGAATCTTTGCAAGATAAACTTGCTACAGAAATTGCAAGGAAAAAGCAAAAAATATTCATTCAAATTCCTACCTAGAAACACAATATAAGTACAGTCTCAAATTTGTACATACAAATGCCCTCATGTTGTTTTCCACAGAATTTTGCAATTAAAGAGTTCAGTCATTATTCAACAAATCATGTAAAATACGCATTTTGTATATCTAAAAGTCTCCCAAATCAAACCAAAATTCTTTTAAAAATGTTTTTACTTTCCAATATTATTCTGTGTTAGTTTCAGATATACAGCATAGTGGTTAAACAATCATGCACTTTACAGAGTGACATTAACAAAGTTCTAGTCTTCCTTCCTCAGCATGCATAGCCACTCTCTAATTTTCCCTGATATGCAGCTGCTTTTGAATGTCCTAATGTATAATGTCTGGCTCTCAAAGGGGGAAAAAAACAAAAAAATGAAAGAAGGGGGGTGCCGGCCTTTAAAAGCTTTGGGAGTCCCTCGAGCTGGAGCAGAGGGTAGCTAGCAGAAATGCAACAATGGCTGCCCACCTCTGGAGTCAGAGGCAGCAACCAGGCCACAGCATTTGGTGACAGGGTCCTTTTGGTCCACCCTGGCTAACGCAAGCTTTGTGCAAGCTGCTCCAGAAGCAGCACACAATGGTCTGCCAGGGTCTGGGGGAAGAGGGTGAGTAGCTGGTTCTATGCTGATAGCTGACTAGAATTAACCACAATTTACTACCCAAGTCTTCCCCTGGAAGTTGCAAGCCTTCAACAGACTCGAGAGTTCTAAAACAGAGTAAAGTCTGCCAGAGCAACTGTTGTCTGGTGCTACCTACTCCCTCCATCTTCCCAGAATCTTCTTTCTTAATATAAAAATTTTAATCCTTTATAAAATCTTATAAATAAAAATGTAATAAAAGCATTTAGAAGTCACTTAACCTTCTATTCTAAAATTATAAATTGCTTTTACTATTTACACATGTCCTGTGGGTATGAATATATAAATATGGAACATGTGTATATGTGTGTGGAGGGTAATAACAAGTGTGATTATTGGACTTCTTGCGTAAATTCAGACAAGGAGGTAATTAATATAAAAAACACAGACAGACAACTGACTTATTTCCTACAACTGTTATCTGTAAACCCAAAGGTGACTGATCTAAGTTAAAAACCTGAATCCTGTTATTAGTTTAGCCTTACCTTAAATGTCACTCTAGGAATATACTGAATATTTTTGTTATTGACTAGTGAAGTTCCAGGCTTAGTTCTTTATACCCCAAATAATTACAAGGCACTTTGGGATCCCCTACTCGAGGACAAGTGTGTTTTTAAGGTGTCTGATGCTAGTTCTTTGTGCCACAAATACTTACTCTTCCTTGTGGACACAGCCTCCAGGAATGGATCTTCAAGGAAGGAGGGAGACACACTGCTGCTGCTGGCTGACTTGTGCAGAGTCTCTTCCTGGGAAAGGAAAGAACAGAGAAATAGTGAGATTCCCTAGACTAATTAATAACATTTTACTGTTAGTGCTCTCCTGCTAAGTAATAACATTTTTTTTTATAGAGAGAGAAAGAGAGAGAGAGAGAGAGAGAGAGAGAGAGAGAGAGAGAGAGATCAGTTTGTTGTTCCTCCTCAGTAATAACATTTTGCTATTAAATATTTATTTTAACACGAGACACCAAATTATATTGTAAAAAAAAAAAAACACCAAAGGAAGTAGAAGATGAACTAGACAGGATCTAAAATTAGATATTCTGGGTTTGTGTCCCAGCTTTGTCCCTTATTAGAGTGATGTGACATTTTGCAAGCTTCTTATCTTAATGTCATCATTTGTTTTTTTTTTAATAAATTTTTATTTTTCAATTACAGTTGACATACAATATCATATTAGATTCAGGTGTACAACACAGTAATTAGATTTATAACTTATGAAGTGATCACCCTGATAAATCTAGTACCCACCAGGCACTATACATAGTTATTACAATATTATTGACTATATTCCCTATACTGTACTTTACATCCCTGTGACTTTGTAACTATCAATTTGTATTTCTTAACCCCTTACTTTTTTCACCCAGCCCTCAACCTGCTTCTCACCTGGCAACCATTAAAATGTTCTCTGTAGCCCTACCAAGGTTTGGCTCAGTGGATAGAGCATCAGCCTGCAGACTGAAAGGTCCCAGGTTCGATTACGGTCAAGGGCATGTACCTTGGTTGCGGGCACATCCCCAGAAGGGGGTGTGCAGGAGGCAGCTGATCGATGTTTCTCTCTCATCGATGTTTCTAACTCTCTATCTCTCTCCCTTCCTCTCTGTAAAAAAAATCAATAAAATATATTAAAATAAAATAAAGTGTTCTCTGTATCTATGAGTTTGATTTTCTTTTAGTTTGGTCGTTTGTTTTTCTGAATCCACATATAAGTGAAATCACATGGCATTTGTCTTCCTCTGTCTGACTTATTTCCCTGAGCACAATACCTCTAGGTCCATCCACACTGTTGCAGATGGCAAGATTTCATTCTTTTGTGGGGCTGAGTCAGACTCCATTGTATATATGTACCACTTCTTTACCCATTCATCTACTGATGGATACTTAGCTTGCTTACATATCTTGGCTATTGTAAATAATGTGGCAATGAACATGTGGGTATATATGTCTTTTCATATTAGTGTTTTGGGTTTCTTCAGATAAATACCAAGAAGTGAAACTGCTAGGTCCCTCTTTGTCTCTTGTTATAGTCTTTGTTTTAAAGTTTATTTTGTCTGGTTATAAGTATTGCTACCCCAGGTTTTTTGTTTGTTTTTTTCCATTTTCATGAAATATCTTTTTCCATTCCTTTACTTTCAGTCTGTGTGTGTCATCTGAAGTGAATCTCTTGTACACAGCATATGTAAGGGGTGTGTTTTTTTTTTATCCATTCAGCCACCTTACACCTTTTGATTAAATGCTTTAATCCATTTATATCTAAAGTAATTGCTGACAGATATGTAGTAATTGTATTTGATTATTTATATTTTTCATTCCTCTTTTAACTCCTCATGCTCCCCTTTCCCCTCCTCCTCCAAGAAGTCCCTTTAACATTTCTGTAATACTGGTTTGGTGCTGATGAACTCCCTTAGCTTTTTCTTGTCTGGGAAAATCTTTATCTCTCTTTTAATTCTAAATGATAGCTTTGCTGGGTAGAGTAATCTTAGTTGTAAGTTCCTTCTTTGAATATTTCATGCCAATCCCTTCTGGCCTGCACATTTTCTGTTGACAAATTAGCTGCCAGTCTTAAGGGAGCCCCCTTGTAGGTAACATTGCTTTTCTCTTGCTGCTTTTAAGATCCTTGTCTTTAACCTTTGCCATTTTTTTAAAATTGATTTTTAGAGAGGGACAAAGGAAGAGAGAGAGAAATATCAATGGTAAGAGAGACACATTGAACAGCGCCATATGCGCACAAACTGGGGATCGAACTGGTAACCTAGGCATGTGCCCTGACCAGGAATTTAATCCATGACATTCCAGTGCATGGGATGATGCTCCAAGCACTGAGCTACACTGGCCAGGGCAACCTTTACCATTTTAATTATGATGTGCCTTGGGGTGAGCCCGTTTGGCTTCATCTTGCATGGGACTCTCTCTGCTTCCTGGACTTGTATATCTATTTCCTTTGATAGGTAGGGAAGTTTTCTGTTGTTATTTCTTTAAATAGGTTTTCAATTCCTTGATCTTTCTTTTCTACTTCTGGTACCCCTATGATACAAATGTTACTAAGTTCAACATTATTCTAGAGCAGCGGTTCTCAACCTGTGGGCCGCGACCCCTTTGGGGGTCGAACGACCCTTTCACAGGGGTCACCTAAGACCATCGGAAAACACATATATAATTACATATTGTTTTTGTGATTAATCACTATGCTTTAATTATGTTCAATTTGTAACAATGAAAATACATCCTGCATATCAGATATTTACATTACGATTCATAACAGTAGCAAAATTACAGTTATGAAGTAGCAACGAAAATAATTTTATGGTTGGGGGTCACCACAACATGAGGAACTAACTATATTAAAGGGTCACGGCATTCGGAAGGTTGAGAACCACTGTTCTAGAGGCCCTTTAAACTATCCTCATTTTTAAAAATTTCTTTTTTGCTGTTCTAATTGGGTGTTTTCTGCCACCTCACTTTCCAAATCACTGATTCGATCCTCTGCTTCATTTAATCTACCATTGATTCCCTCTAATATATTATTCTTCATTTGTTATTGTATTCTTCACTTCTGACTGATTCTTTTTTAAGTTTTCTATCTCCATTTTTTGGTTTCCTATCTCTTTGTTAAAATTCTCACTAAATTCATATACTCTTCCTCTAAGTTAATTGAACATCCTTAAAACCAATGTTTTGAATTCTGCATCTGACAGATTGCTTGTCTCCATTTTTTTGGTTCTTTTTCTGGAGTTTTGCTCTGTTCTTCATTTGGGACGTGTTTCTTTGTCTCCTCACTGTGACAGCCTCCCTGTGGTTGTTCTATGGATTGGGTAGAGCTGCAACATCTCCTGGTCTTGGTAGAGAGGCCTTATGTAGTAGGTGTTCTATGGGCCCAGTAGCACAGTCTCCCTCGTCACCTGAGCCGCGTCTCCAGCTGGGTCCCTCGTGTGGGGTGTATGTTCCCCTTTACTGTAGTTGAGTCTTGAGGCATGTCAATGGAAGGGATTGATCCTCAGGCTGATTGGTTGTGAGGACTGGCTATGACTGTAGTGAAGGAGCAGTTGTGCAAGGGCTGACCCTATGGAGCTAGAATTCACTTTAGTGGGGCCCTGATGCCGGCCGAATCTGCCATTTGGGTGTGTTGTTTGTTGAGGTGGTTGTGTGATGCTCTGGTTGTGGTCTGGAAGCTGACCACTGGGTGCAATGGTTCTGGGGCCTCTTGGGTGGTGGAGGCCAAAGTTAGCCACTGCCCGTGCCTTTCCTGGGGCCACATGGTATGAACTACAAAGTGATGTCCAGATGGATGCCACTTGTGCTGGGCTTGGAGGTACCGACACTCTAACTACTGAACTTACCAGCCAGGGCAGTTTAGTTGTAATTTTGATGTGGTCATGGGAGGAGGCAAGTACAGCACTTACCTACTCTACCCATCTTGAACAGAACTCTTAGTTTCATCATTTTTAGAAGAGGGTATATATATTGCCCTGGCCAATGCTGCTCAGTTGGTTGGGCACTGTCCTGTGCACCAAAAGGTGCTGGTTTGAATAAACATTTTTTGAATAAATGGATGAAAATAAACATTCCATGAAATGCCATGATTGTAGAAAGTGTCTACATTGTGCCAAATAAAATTTAAATTCCCATTACCAGTGAGAAAAGATCTTATTGGTTTATACTATACCAAAATGAAGTACAATACTTATTCATAAAAAATTTATTATCTACTCTATGATTGGGAATACACATTAACTATAAGGCAATTTATTTCCATAATATCTATTGTAAACTGATAAATATTTTTAAATATAGAAGAAAATCAGGTTAATATAGTAATCTATGATTATGTAAGACAAATAGTTAATGAAAATTCTCTTAGACCTACTTAGTTAAGGTGACTTTAAGAATTAGCCATTCACTAAAAATTGGCCTCACCTAAAACCTACTGCTGAGAGCATTAGTTTCAAACAAGTTACAATTCAAAGGATCTTATCGAAGAACAGAAGAAAACAAGACTGTGTAAACCACACGGTTCAAACAAAGAAGGTTGGGACAGTGACCTCCACGCTCTTGATACTTACCATGAAAAACAAATCAAGCCATGTAAACAAATCTTCAACCTCAGAGTCATACAAATCTCCAGAAAAGCTATCAAACAACTAGCATGACCTCCTTCTGCTTGTGGAAGGTCAAAAGGAAATAAAAGTCAAGAGTTTTTCTTAGGAAACGAAAAAAAAAAGTCATCACAGCACTTTCCAAATAATTATGAGGTGGGTGCTGCCCTGATTTAAACAGCAGAAATCAGCCCCCTGCCTCACATACTTCAGCCCACCTTCCCAAGAAACATTTTTAAAGCCTAATTTCACAGAACTCTGAGAGGTATGTCCACACCTTTCACCCTCCTCTTCTTTACGGATTTGAATTCTCCCACTATGAACAGCCAACCTGTCCTAGGGCAGGTGGGGTAAATACAAGCCAGTTTGTAGGAGACAGAAAAAAATGTGGGGATGCTGACCAAAACATATTTCTAGAAATAGTTTGAGAAACAGTTCAAAGCAAAAATGTAGCATAGTTACAATAGTTTTGTTATTTATAATTCCCAAATAAGGGACTGGTTAAATAAAATATGGTAAACTATTATGAAGGAATACCACACAGATATTAGGCATCATGTTGGAAAAGGTTCTTTAATGAGATGGGGAAATGCTCATGATATATTTATTTTTTTAATAAAAACCACGGGTTAGTTCTACTTCTGGCAAAATGACAGGTTAGATAACCTATTTCTAAGGTCGAAAGTGGTTTCTGGGGCCAAGTTTAACAAATGGCCAAGTTTAATAACTAGGGAACTTTCAAAAGCTTGCAGTTAATGCTTATTATTTATTATTTAACTATTATTATTTAAATGTACAAAGCTGCCAGATAAGTCTTAAGAGATCTCACTCATATGTGGAATCTAATGAACAAAATAAACTGATGAACCAAATAGATCCAGAGACATAGAAGCATGGAACAGACTGTCGAATCTCAGAGAAAAAGGCGAGGGATCTGTGTTTTCTAAACGTTAAAGTTTGAACATATTTAGATATTTTTAAATTATATTTAGAAGTTTTAAAATTCTATATTCAGAAGAAAGGAACATAATAAGTATGTTCATTTAGTACACTTTTGACTAGTCTATCTTTAGTACTTAAAAACATCAATTTTAATTTGAAGAGGAAGGGAAAAAAATGCTTAGTTCCAGGCCAGTTCTAAGAAAAATGCTTAGTTCTAAGAACATTCACTTGTTCCATGAGTCTGAGATTTCCACTACCACTGACTAAGAAACTACGGCTCATCCAGGCTTAACTCAGCAGCCAGCAACAAAGGTCTGAGTTAGCTAAAACCCCGCTCTAACACATCTCTTTTCAGCTTCTTTCTTTCTAATTTTTATTGTTAAAAGTATTACCTATGTCCCCCTTCACTCCCCCCACTCCCTCCAGTCCACTCCTGCCCCCCACCCCAGGCCCTCATCACCCCACTGTCTGTGTCCATGGGTTATGCCTATATGCATAAAATCAGCACCTTATTTCTTGCTTCATATTTGAACTGATGATGAGTAGATGCTCAAAAATGGCCTCCCTCTGATGAAAAGAATTGTATCTAGCAAATCATCTCAAGATTTGGATTTGGGACGCTAGCAGATCTTCAAAAAAAAGACAACCGAGAAGATTGTAGAGGCTGCCCATTTATCTTATGATGGCCAGGTACACAGTCTTGCCTCAAGAGATGAGTGGAGGAGGAAAAGAAAAGTTGTTAAAAATGGTTCAGTAGGTGAAGGAGGAGCACCCCTTGTCCTTCAGACCAGTGCTGTCCCACAGAGCTCCGCTGAGGGTGGCACTGTGGTCTGTGCCATCCAGTATGGCCACCACCAGCCACATGTGGCCACTGAGCACTTAAGAACTGGAACTGGAGAGTTTTAAATTTACTTAATTTTAATACATTTTAAATTTCAACAGTCACAGCGATTAGTGGTTACTATAGTGAACAGTACAGAGCTAGACAGTCTTTTAATTTCAACTGCTGTTCTCACAGGTTAGTATGAATTTATCTCAATATGCGAGTGTCTACTGGGTGTTAAGAACTGAGGATATAAAGTGAATTCAGCACAGTCCCTCTTCTGAGGGAGCTTGCCCTCTGGTGGGAGAGAGAAATACATGGGTTATGATACTATAGTGTTAAGTCGCCTAACGTAACAGAGAGAAGGGAAGATTATTATTGGAACCACAGAGAAGGGGGGCCTAATCGGTTAGGGGTGTCAGGGAAAAGAGAAGGCAAGGTACGTGCTGACAGTAAAAGGATAAACAGGAGTTAGGAATGAGGGTAGACTGCAGACACACTAAGCACAGAGCGGAGGAAGGAGGGAATGTGCAGGGAAGAACAAATGGCTGAGTGTGGCTGAAGTGTAGACTGAGGCAGGGAGTGGTGGCACAGGCATCAGATCACCAGGGTTATTTGGGGACATGAACTTAATCCTGTAAGTGGTGAGGAGCCTTCAAAAGGTGTCAAGCAGGAGGGATGTCAGATGGAATTGGGAAGGCTAGGAAGGAGGAAGGTAAGAGGGGCCTGAAGAGAGAGAGACAGCATTTGTGACAGTGTGCACTGAGGTCAGGCAGCAGTAAGGATAGTTCTTTATTATTCTTAATGTTTGAAAAACATTTAGTAACAAAACTGTTATTATTGGTATCTTCTGGGTTAGGGGTGGAGACTGATGAGAGGGGAATTAAAGAATAATGCCTTAAATTCTACCCTGGATGAATGTGGAGAGGGTGGAGCCAGCAACCACATTAGCAAACAGAAGAT